CACCTGTGCAAAGCAAGGAACTTTCAGCATCAAGTGCTGACTGTTGCCAGGTCGGGTAACGTTTTCGCAGCCTCTCGAAAACCTGGTGTGTACGGATTTAGGCATGGCAGGCCTTAGGACGCAATTGCTTCTCCAGGAGGTTCCCTCCTCTCAGACTTTTACAGCGCCCCTCGAAGAAAACTACAGAATTGGAGGCGACCCGACTTGTAGCGGCCTACGAGTCGGCAACCCCGAAGGGCTGAGAAACCTGAAATATGAAAGCGGCATCTGCATTCGAAAAAGAAGGCTGCATCAGGATCTCAGGGTTGCGGACTATCGCGTCTCAACCCGAGCGCCAGACCTCTGACGAAAGCTCTCGCATCTTCCTTTGAGCGGCCTGAGAAAGCCCAGCACGCAAAGAGAAAGGCCAGCTGCTGGGCTGCTGGGTTTACAGGTAGCGGTGGTGGTGGGGTCAGGAGTTGTGGCATTAGTAGTGGTAGTACATGTTTACATGATCCAGTTGACCCAAAATCTCCGCAAAAAGATTCGGATTCTTTCCGCTAAATTTAGCCTTTCTCGGGTCTTGTGTCGGCGGCGAAGGAATCTTTGGCTGCGCAATTTGCGAGACGGCGAGCCCGAAAGCTCTCAAAACGTGGGCAGGCGTGGGACTTCCTGATTCTCCTGACATTCCATTGTTCGGTGTGGCTGGCAACTAGGTGGCAAACCTGAAAGTGAATGCCTGGCCACTACCCCGTAAAGTCGCTGCAAAACCGGGGTGAGTCTGGAAAAGGGTGGATAACATAAGTGTGAGTAGCTGCGTCGCTGCAGCAACAGCGAGTTGCAGTAGCTACTCAGTAGTACTACTGCTACCACTTGCTACTGCCACCACCACGCGACGACGACTGCTGCTGCTACTGCTACTGCTACTGCTACCGCTGCCACTGCCACTGCCACTGCGACTGCGACTGCTACTGCAACTGCCGCCGCCGCCGCCGCCGCTGCTGCTGCTGCTGCTGCTGCTCCTGCTACTGCTGCTGCGACGGCTACATCTACGGCTACTGATACTGATACGTGCTGATACGGATACTGATGCTGATACTGCTACTACTACCACCACGACCACTACTGCCACTGGCAGTACTACTCGCCACTGCGCCGGCGTCGACGACCACAAACACAAACGATCACGATGACGACCAAAACCACCACGCTGCCCCCGACCCCGACCACGGCGACGATGAGAAGAACCAAACGAATGAATGATGCTACGGTGTTACTCGGCAGCATGGTCTTGGCTCCCGCAGAACTTCAGTAGGTGGACATGTCGGTCACAAGCCATCACGTCACTGGGGCCCACTCATCCAATTTCCTGCTGGCCTCCTTCACATCCTGCCGAGTGATGAGATTATGTCCAATTGGCTCAAGGCTGATCGCATCATGCCAAACCTTACTAGTTAACAGGGACACCCTCGGAGAGAATCATCCTTCTTGCACATGAACTGGAGAGGTCTGGTCCTGCGTGCGCACACGCTCTCCACGGAGGTCGGTCCACTCGAGGCCACTCTGGGAAGCCCAGAAATCCCTGGGAAGATCTCCTGTGGCAACTTGGAAACACGAGACATAGCTTAGCCGGATGCCCAAAAACCTCTTAAACACGTGGATTGACTTGATGCCCACCGCATTGGCCTCCTTCTCGCCGGGCTTCAACCACTTCTATGGGCCTCAGAATCTTGAGTTCTCCGGTGTTAGTCTGTACTCCTCTGCTGCACCTGTGGAAGTCATGAAATCCATATATATATATATATATATATATATATATATCCATGTCACGGCAGTCTTCTCAGTGAGGTTTAATGGCCCTGCATACATGAACGCCGAGCAAGCCTCAAAACGACAGAATCTACGGTAAATGTCGAGTCCAACTGTCGCTCGCCCTCAGAAGCAAGCTCACCATGGTCGCCGAAGCGGACGCGAGTGGGCAAGGTGCTGCGCGGAAGGCCTGGAAAGGTCCGAAGTCCAGAATTTCAGGGCTCCGGGCTCGGAGTCTGGCAGAAGTGTAACCGTACAAGCCAACAAGCAGCCCATTGCATGTGCACTGAATATAATTACCCTGAGCTCGCCCGTAATCCGAAAACGCCTGGTGCTCAAGGTAGGCCGAATCACAACGTTCTGTGCTGCTCCAAACATGTCACCATGCGGTCCGTCAGTCATCCGCTAAACTTCCCACTGTGATATAACGGTTCGGCAAGGCCTCGGTTGATGCAATCACCACTGTTCCACCACAGAAGCGCACGTGCAAGTAGTAGCAGAATTGAAGAGGAGTTCAACTGAAGATCATCAGGAACGAGGACTCCTACCTCAGTCACGCTGGATAGGCTTCCTCCGAGCCCCGCTCCTTCTTCCGGCTTTGGCCTTGGAAGGATGAGTTATAGTAGTGGGGCGACTTCTTTGCGTTATCGTGTCATTGGTCAGGAAAGAAACGACCAACTGCCATCCACCCACGAGACTCCTCACAAGCATCAGAATCAGGCTTCTTCAATATCCTGATGCATATGTTCTACCTAGGTCTGATGCTTTCTCTGCACTTCGTGAATGAAAACTTTGCAAAGCTGCTGAGCTGCCCCAAGTCGAAAACCCAAAATGAGTTTCTGTCCATTCCGGACAGGTCCTGCCCTCGACCCATAGGAAAGCTCGACTGAACCGTCTCATGCGAATTGCCGATGAAAAACTGCGCGGCTGGCTGCACATAAGGCTTCTGCTTAGCTCTCCCAACCCAACTCGACCGATCTTCTGACCCCCTTCGCCTTGGTTTGTCTCCTGATTCTCGTACGAGGCCCAGATCACGGCAGAACACGTGCTAAGACCAAAGTATGCACATACTACTTCCGCGTGTGCAGGCGCGCCACGAGCTGAGGTTGATGTTCGACCGGAAAACAACAAACATGCAATCGAATGACTGCCATCGACAGACAGCCTGGCACGAACCCATTATGGGTGGATGCTTCAATACCTGCCCCGGAACATACCAAACTTGAATCTTGGTTCCAGCCTTGTGATGCGAGAAGCTGTCGTAAGCTCCGGGCTTGGAGAGCGTCTTGGCAGCAGCTCCTATAGCCAAGACCTGAACGTGGAGGTCGTCGACGTGGCTTCAGCTTTAGTTGGGTCGACGCTCGGGACTTTGGCTTGACACGCGAGCTCGCTTAGTCAAAAGTCCGGCAGACCATGTCTTCAGGGCTCAAGCCAATGTGCCGTCCACGTGATGCAGCCTTCAGCAAGTCGTGGCGCTTGGTACCAGTATCTGTGTCTGGCACGTTGTGGCCGTAGATATCCGTGACCTGCACGCACGAAGGACCAGCATCGCTACGACCTTGAACAAATGCCTGCGACTTCAAATCGAAGTAGCTGCAGCAGGCCACCGTGTGTGCAGCTCTTGTTCCTCAAGCGATGCGTGACGGGCCAGCTCAGTCGGCAGTCTGCTTCGTCTTCATCAGCCTCTAGCCAGGGGAAGACATGACCACAATCATGACGGCGATGACACCCATGATCATAATCATGACGATGATGATGCTGATGATGATGGCGATAACCACATCACGATGCTGTGATGCTCCCAGCGTTTGGACGGTCTGTGCCAGGTTGCTGCTGCCGCTGCTGCCCCTACGCCGGCTACTAGCACCACCACCACAACAGCAATAACGACAAAGACTACTACTACGACTACTCTTCCTACCGCCCTTCCTAGTACTCCTCGTATTACTCCTCGTCCTCCTGGTCCTACTGCTACTGCTGCTACTGCTGCTACTACTACTACTACTACTACTACTACTACTACTACTACTACTACTACTACTACTAGTGAAGCACCGCAAACCGGTCTTGCAAAAGAGCAAACACGGAGCGGCAGCTGTCTTTTGCATTCTTTTGCTTCGCGAGTCCACTCGCACGCCTAATCCTACAAAAGCGCAGGCCGTCGCGAGTAACAACTCCGCGCGGCTCGAAGCTACCTTAACTCGCTACAGCCGTGCACACTTGGCACTGCTTAGAAAGCAAAGCACTTGAGCCAAAATCATTTGTTTGGCATGAAACTTCAAATTAAACACAACATGCAAAGCTACAAAACTGCGGACCTGCAGAGACATGTGCACTGACACAGGTATATACACTATTCGCCCCTCAGCCGAGGCTTCCAGGCATCCCGCACAACTCAGTGCCAGGAGGGGTGGGTCGCGTCGCGAGCGGTAGGGCGCAGCCCTGACAACGACGACAGCACGACGCACGAACCCACTACCGGCCCTCCTAAACCGAAGCCCTGAACTCCACAGGCTCACGCTGGTCTTCGTTTTGCCGCCTGGGGTTGAGGCTCACCCAGAGCTGTCTCTGCAGCGGTCCAGCTGCTACGAAACTGTACAACTAATTACGGCAACCTACCGCTAAGAAGCTACGTGGCAAACACCTGCCAGCTAAAGCCCCTGTGGGCAGGCGGCCGCGCCCGAACAAGGGCCGCGAGCCGCGCGCACCTACGGCGCGTGGCTGCGACCGAACAAGGTCCGCACGCCAACCATATGCAGGGAAACGGCACGGGTGTTCCGATCACAAGCGCACCGGTTGGCGCGACACCAAAGCGTCCAGCGACCCATAAGGGCCGACTATCAGCCGCGGCGGCCTGGTACAACAGGCGGGCCGCGACCAATTAAGGTCCGCGTGCCGGCCGCACAAGGGATCGCAGAGGATGCGAAACACAGGTGCCGGCTGGCACGGCAAGCTATGAGAAGGCGGGCGCCCAGCACGGGCACCGCGCAGAAAACTGCCGCGGGTGGCGAAGCAACGGCGTAAGCAAAACGCCTGCCACCTTGGCAAATTGATGCCGAGCTGTGGGCCGAACGTGCACTGCTCAAGCCGGGCAGTGACACTGCCGCAGGCCCCGCTCAAGGCTCTTCAAAAGACGCCGGGCTATGCTCTTAGCCGCGGCAAAAGTGCCCACGGGCTTCGCGCGTGCCGCGCGGAAGCCCGCCGCGAGCACCTTACGCAGCTGCCGGCTCAGGCCGCTGCTGCTGCTGCTGCTGCTGCTGCTGCTGCTGCTGCTGCTGCTGCTGCTGCTGCTTGCCGGTGGCGCTGTCGGAACCAGCCGCCTTACCGGGCGGCTTGGCATCCTCCAAGGGAGTGCCAGCAGCAAAGCAGGTGTCGAAGTCGCGGAGATAGTCTCCCACGACTTCCGCGTCCTGGGCCAGGGTGAGGTGCACCCCGCACTCCAGGTTGGCCTTAGAGCTCGTGCTCCAATTAAGGGAGCCGATCACGAGCTCGGCCTCGCCGACGCCCAAGCGGAGAAGGGCCTTCCCGTGGTGAAGTCCCTTCAGGCCCGCGCCCACTGCAGGGCCGCGGCCGTCGGCGACGTAAGCGTCGCGGACGGACGACCCGTTGCAGAGGCGCACACGGGCGCCCGCCTGGGCAGCGCGTTTAAGCGCCTGCCACTGCAGCTTCGTGCGTGAGCAGTGCTGGGAGTCCGCTATGATGCTGCATAGCGCCGCACGCCTGCTCAATCGCCTCGATCACCGACGGCGAGTCGAAGCTGTAGGCCCGGAGATAGAGCTTCTCACGGGACTTGGCACGGTTCACAACGTCCGCGCCTGCGGCGATGTACCATCCGCCGGCGGGCCGCTGCGGAGAAAACCGCTAAGGCAGCTAAGCTCCCGGCTTTTGGCGGCGAGCCCCGAGAAGCACTCGGAGGTGCCTGTCGTGACCGCTTGGACTGCCACGCGTCTGCGCCGGATGGCACGCGAGGACTCCTCCGTGTGCACTGCCGCAGAGGTGCCCTGAGTGCCACTCACGGGCACCAGGTCTAGGCGCTCCGCCGCCGTGAGCGCCGCGCCACAATGGCCGCAGGCGCCGTCAGTGACAAAGGCCTAGCAGCCGCATGCGGCCTGTCTGCTCTTTGTACAGAGCCAAACACGGTGCTGCTTGCCGCCGCTGCCGGTCACTTCAAAACTGCCCTCTGTGCCGACTTCCGGGCACACCTCCCGAGCAAGGGTCGCGGCCGGGAGACGGCGCGCCCAGCGGAGCTCAGAGGAGTCCGCCGACCGGTCCACTGCCTACGCCTGGGCGGTAGCACGCCGGGTGTTGAACCGTTTGGTCCACGCGATCACCGGCAACATCTCGGCATGGACTGGGTTGGCGGCGGCCGCGACGGCGCCCCTTCTGTTCTCCATCCACTGCGGGTCGGTAGTTGTCGTCGAAGAGACGTTCGCCGCAGTTGCCCAGAGCTCTGCAGAGCTCGTCCAAGCTCGGAGCGGAAGCCCAGCGGACGGTGCACGTCGCGGGGCGCTCCTTGGCGGTGGCGACGTTGATCGTCTGCGCCGCGTGCGTGTGGTTCGCGGCACGCGCGGTCCTGAACCGGATCGCGCACGCCATGTCCGGCAACACGTCGCTGCCGACGAAGCTGGTTGAGCTTGGCAGAACACAGCCCCACTCCCGACCAACGGCGTGGCCCGGGACGAGCAGAGACGTGCCGCAATCCCCCGTGAGCTACGTCGATCAAGACGCCAGCCCACGGCCTTGCCCTTGCCCTTCTCAGACTTACCGCCCCTTGGGTCACGGTAGTCTTGGGGTTCCTGCCCGCCCTTATAAGCGCGCCTGGACCTGAGGGGGCGCGAACTCTGCCTCGTCCGCTGCCATGTTCTCCTCCATCTCCTGCATCTCCGCACTGTCGTCAGAGTACACTGCCTCCGGTACGAGAGATTCCACTCCGCAGCCGCCAGGGCGTTCCTGGTGGCCCGGCGCTGCTGGATCCGCGCGAGCTTTCGCTCTTGCCGCAGAGACTCGCGCTCCAGCCAGGCGCCGCGAACACGGGCGTCTTCGAGGAGCTGGTGGTCCTCGACCGCAGCGACCGCCTCGTTAAACTCATTCATCCGGGGTCACCGACGCTTGCCACGCGTCCGGTGCCGACCAGGGGATGATGTTGTCATCGGGCATAGTCGCCCTGCGCGGCGAGGCCGCCGCAGCGGGCGCCTCTCGTCGGGCCGCCCGGCGGCTGATAGAAGCAGGTCGTTGCTTCCGCAGGGTTGACTCCAGAGCAAAAGTAGCAAATCCAAGACCCCCATGTATAATACGAATCTTGGTCAAAGAGGATAGGAGCTCCGGGCGCTGCTCCAGCAGCCGCCCCCTCCTGCTCCTCCTCGTCCGCCTCGACCTCCACCACCTCGACGTCGTCGTCCGGGTCGGTGGGCTCGGCTATGAAGTTCTCATCTACAGCCGTGGGGGGGGGTAACCCCCCTGAGGGTTCGAGCTAAACCAGTAGGGGGTTTGGAAAAAACGAGACGATTTTCAAGTTTGTCATCAAAACGACTGGGGGGTTCGTTTTCGGAGCCATAAAAAATTCAAATTCGGAAAAAGTGGTCTGGCCACTTCCCATACCAAGTACTTGCACCGGGGAAACCCGTCAGCTCAGCTAGGTTGCTACGACCCCAGCAGACACGCAAGTGCAAAATCGTTGCCTGCCAAAACCCACGATATTGCTCCTGGGGTCGACCTACTAGCCAGGCACACATGCTTTCACATGTCGTTTTAAGCATTCCCACTGAAATCCACACACACATCAGAGCACAACCCCAAAGCCCAAACCCCTAGACGCCTAAACAAAACACGACACAAACACACACCCAAAGCCCGAACCCCTACACGCCTAAACGAAACACGACACACACACACACACACACAAACACGTGATGCACCTTTTTCTCTCGCACCCCACGAGCTTTGTGCACAAAACTTATGCCTTATGCATAATTACTCCAGCGAGCCATCATCATGGAATCCAGAGTGTCAGTCGGCTGCGAATCTAGACCGCAATCGAACGCAGGAGGCAACACCGGAGGGGCCATCCCTTGGAAAGGGATGACCTGGGTCTCGGGGAACTCTTCTGGATCTGACGCAGGCACCTCTACAGCAGGCTCCGCTACATCCATGACACAACTTTCCTCGTACTCTGCGTTTTCCAAGACGCCGAGCAGTTCACACAAGTCTTCGTTCAGCCCTTGTTTCAGGGCCCTGATGTGCTCCTCTAGGGCCCTGATGTGATCTTCTCGTGCCTTTCGCTCGGCGAGGAGCTGATCAACATTTGCACGCAGTGCAGTGGTCAGATCTTTTTGCAGCTGCAGCCGATAATTCGTAATCTCCAGTTCCACCTTGAGCTGTTGCTCCAGTGTCCCAGGAGTTGAAAAGGTCGCAGCTTCACGGCTCTCGAGATCTCTGGTGACAGACTCCCAAGTTTCCTCATCAACTACGAAGCTTCTCTTCATCTTAGGCAGAAGCTGTGAAAGAGGAGTTTGAGCCGAAACCTCGTGTGTCAAAAAGATAACACAAGCAAAAGCTTAGCATCTCCATGGAAACTCACTTTTCAGGCCAATATGGTAGGCTGTCGGGGCATCCTCGCAATCGAACACATGAGGCAGCACGCAGTCCGGACAGCCGGCATGCGATCATGACTGATCGAAGCCGGGTTTCAATCCATTTGCCAGACGAGCAACGCAGCTGCCATGGTGGCGGGTACTATGCGAGATCATTGACTTTGCATAGTAACCGCCACAATGTGGCTGGAACTTACTACAGCCAGCGGGCCAGCACCTCCTCCTTGACGGAGGCTACTACTCCAAGACAGTGTCGTGGAGTTGTAGCCACCGTCAGGGGGGAGGTGCCATCCGTGGGTAGGAGGTGGCCTCGGCTGTGAGGGTTTCACCCTCCCAGACTGGCACCGGCAAACTACGCAGTCGTTTGTAACAAGGGTGCTCTCAGCATATCCTTGTGTGGTTGTGGCCTCAGACTCAGCAGACACTTATCATCTAGTCTTCAAATTAGGAAAGCAGGACTTTGAGCCGAAACATGGTGGGCCAAAACCTCATCGTGCTTGAATGAACAATCGCTTAGCTTTTCAATGGACAGGTTGTATGGAACCGAACTTTTCCTTCTGATTCATCTGATGCCACGGCAGTGGGTCCCCAACAGTTGAAGAAAGAAGCACCCGGCTTGAAAGGATCATGGCTCTCCGCAAGCCTGCTCGTGAAACCATGTTGTGCTGGCCTGCAACACAATCCAACAGATTGTGTACATGCCGAGCTTTTCCGTTCGTTGCCTCTTCAACGAACGCCCTGGGAGAAAACAATGGACCTCTTGTCCATTAGTCCAGCACGCTGAGGAAGTGGTTCAGAAGTTTACCTGTTCTTTTGGCACCCAGCTCGGGGGTGCGGGCGACCACCCTTGCAAGGCTTGTCGATGCCCATTTGCAGGAGCTCGCCGTCATTACGAACAACTTCAGCATGTGGGCTGGAATGCTTTCGGGGCTGCCATCCTTCTCGACGTCGTACTCCGTGTTGATCATGATGTACACCATCCCTGGCGGCAGGACGATGCCCTGGCCGGCGGACAAGTTTGCAAACCACTCGCAGCGGTCAAGGAACTCTTGCGACGTGAGGGCTTTGAAGTCCCCGAGCTGTGTTTCCTCGCTTGGCACGGAAGCCGGCGAAGAAAACGCTTGTCCCCTCGAGATGCACCGTCAGCTCTGGCAGGCTGAAGGCTGCGCTGGTGTCCACACGGCCGCCCATGCACTGGCAGAACATGGGCCTCCACAGGTCCAGCAGCTCTTCATCCCCCGGAAGCGAAAGGCGGTCAGCGACTGCCACCGGCAGGCTCTTGCCGATGAAGCCGAGAACTTGCTTCGCAACTGCCTCTCGTCCGATCACCGCAGTAGTTACACCTCTGCCATCTGTCTTCATCTTCTCTCCTAACCACTGCTTCTGGGACTGGTAGTAAACCAGATCGTGAACACTCTTGAGCAGGCCTGTGATTTGCTCGGCAGGGATCAGCACTGGGCCCTTGCCCGGCATCTGATCCAGCATATCCTCCTGCAGATTGAACCACACCCCGTTGCTGCCTCGCTGAAACTTCGACCATCTTTCCTTCAACAGCTCCTTTCGCATCCAGCAGACACAGTCCAGCATCTCCGGGCTGATTGCGATGTCAGCTGCGGCTTGCGACGAGGTGCCGTTCGCAGATGTGGCAGCGGCTGTTCTTTGCCTTCTTCTTGGCCAGCGAGTCCTTTTTGGCCAAAGCCTTTTTGGCATCGTTGACCAAAGTTCGGAAGGCCTTCATCCTGTCCTTCACCTGGGTTGGTGGGTGAGCAAAAAACAAATGGAACAACAAAACGGTTCGGATACAACTACGACTGCGACCAACACACTACAAACCACATACGTTACCTGAAATCCTAAACCCCAAACCCCTTAAACCTTAAACCTCCAAATCAATCGCAGGCACCGCCTTCAGCTGTGGCCACTCCCCAGGACCCTTCTTGCACGCCTCCGTGGCCTCCTTCAGGTAGTTGAGCAGCTCGTCATCGTCCTCCGTCGTTGCCATCTCCTCCTCCTTGATTTTCCGCTTTGCTGCGAGCTCAGGGATGGATTGAAGAAGTTTGCTCAAGTCCTCTTCGAGTGCATCCATTGTTGACTGGAACTCTTTCTTTGTTCCTTCGTCTTCCTCTGCCATCATTGCCTGAGTCTCTTCTCTCAGGCCGGTGAAGGCTTCCTGCTGCTTGCCGTGTGCGGAGGCAAGCATGGTCTCCTCCCGGGCATGGGCATTCTTGATCTGCAGGAAGAGCACTGCCCTAACGGGTTTCTTCTTGTCCTTATTCTCAAGCCTTTCCTTGTCGGCTTGTTGCTTCTCCAGCACCGTTTCCATCCACCTTTGATCTCGCAGAGCCTCTTCCTGCTTGAGCTGATCGAGGTCTCGGGCGACATGCAGTCCCGGCACCGAGGCGTTTTCCATGCCTTGGTCGAGCATGGCCTTTTCGGTTGCCAGCCTTTCACCGGCCTTTTTGAGCCTCTGTGCTGTCTGCTCTTGGCAGACAGCCAGCTCGCTCTGGTCTGTGACGTCCATTCGCTGGCGAAGAGTTCCTGCTACGCTGTGCTCCTGTGCGAGCTCGCCCAGCAAGCCACCAAACTCCTTCAGCATCCAGACGCCTCTCAACTGTTTGCTCTCGGTGTCATCATCCTGACACCTTTTCAAGAACTTCGCCCGCCCATCCTCGTAGTTCTTCACGAGGCCCAAGGTCATCTCTCTGGCGACCCAGTCTTTCTCAAGCCACCACCTATCCTGCTCGCTGTTTCTCATGGAAGCCCGCCGAGTGTCTTCGACAACCCCGACGGCGGTGGCAAATGTTCTCTTCTTAGACACACCGCCACCACCACCGTCCTGGCGGTGGGACTTCTTTTCACTCCTGTACCACTCGTACTGCTCCTCCTTCGTCATCTTCCCCAACTGCTTCTTCAAGTCCGCAGCAGTCTGGCACTTGTTCAGCAGATCCTCGTCGTGAGCATTGAGCTCACCCTCTTTGGCTTTCTTCTGAGCCAAACTCTTCGCCTGATGGGAGCTAGGATTAGGGGATTAGGGGGACCCTTGGGGTACCCGTTAAGGGGGTCTCCCTAATAATACTACCTACCTGAGCGATCCTGAGCGATCTGCTTGTTCAAGATCCGCTCCGTGCCGCCGCACTCCTGGCAAATCCGGAGCAACTCGTTTCGTCCCGTTGCATGGGAAGTCGAAACAGTGGTGGGCTTGTTGCATTTGCGGCAAAGGAGTTCGCCGGTCCCATCCATGGCTGGTCTCGCTGACTTGCACAGAAGGGGCCAGGGCACCAGGCCAGAGGGGTCTCGGTCAGGTGCTGCTGCTTGAACCAGCAGTTGCTAGTTCATTGTCGGGCCTAAGCCCTACACTCTAGTTGTCAGAACACACTGCCTGCCTGGCGACTGAAGGAAGTGCACCATCATGAAGCATGCCATCCGCCTGTATCGAAAACCTTTTGCACAAAGTGCACTGATCAGCTAAACTGATTAAAGAAACTGAGGCCTGCATTGCACGCACTGATCTAATTAACTAAATTAAGACACCGAATTGACTACAGACTATGGATGAGCTCTCCGGCAGTGACAGCTGTGCTTCTGCACTCTGCCATGAAAAGCTCAAGGCTGCCTAATCGAGATCTATGGCTATGCATCCGCATGACCGACGCACTGCCAACTTGTCAAAATGGCTACTACGGTTCGCCCTGGGACTGGTCGGACTGGTACTACGACTATGGATGAGCTCTCCGGCGGCAGCTGTGGCTGGATGAGCTCTCCGGCAGGCAGGCAGCTGTGGCCCGTCTTGTGGGACTATGGATGAGCTCTCCGGCGGCAGCTGTGAGTTTCCCGCATTTCGTTGAGTGTGCCGTATTTTCCCCTTTCCCTTCTCTTTCCTTCTCTTCCTTTGCCTCGCTCTTTCCAACCTTCGACTGCGTTGACTCAAGTCGACTCTGAGCACTCATTGGCTGGCGGCAAGCAGCTCTAGATCCAGCAAGGGGCGCGCAATACGCTGGACCGCGGTCACAGCGATGGCAGAGATCCGATGCTGCGCCGTGCGTGGATGCAGCAGAGTCTTTGTGAGTGAGCATCACACGCGTTGCTGCTCGGCTTGTGTAGGCTCTGGGAGCAACTTTCATACAAGGCGCTGTGATTTACACCAGCGTTGGCGTGCTCAGCGCCGGGGTCATGATGCTTCTTCTGATGCCTCCACTGGACTTCCTCGAGTGCATGCTTGTGCTACTGCCTCCTGCGGTCGACTGGCTGGTCCGTTTCATAACACCTGCTGCAGCAAGTGTGCGGCTACACTAGGAAATCGACACTCCAGACGCTGTTATAGGCAGGGCACCCAGAGCTTGCACTCTTTTTCTTCTTCCAGTTCGGGGATTTCGAGTACAATGGGAACTACCGGGTCCTCGACTTCTACTTCTGCGTCTAGTGCCATTGCAACTGCAAGTGCAGCCTCTGCTTCCCTGGCAACTTCTGTGCCACCGGTGACATACTATGAGACGATGGTGAACACAGCTGCCCAGGAGGTAGTGGATGCGCATCAGTCAGTGCAAGCGAGACAGATGCATGAGCAGTCGGGAAATTTTGATTTTGAGGCGATGGACTGAGGCTTCGGAGTGATGTGATGTGACTGTGATGCTTTACCTTTTTGTTATCTGTGTAGATACGAGCACAACAGGCTCCTCGAGCCTTGATTTGGCGTAGCCCTTACAGGATTAGCCAAATGGCTAAGCAGCCTTGCAGCTGCCGGGTGTGGAACACCTGTCCTTCGCATCGCATCGACCCGGTGCAGCGAGGTGAATGAATGAATACTACTACTACTACTACTACTACTACTACTACTACTACTACTACTACTACCACTACTCAAAACTACTACTACTACTACTACTACTACTACTACTACTACTACTACTACTACTACTACTACTACCACTACCACGACTACTCCCAGTGCTACTGCTACTGCTACTTGGCAGCACCAGCACCAGCACCGGCACCAACACCTCCTACTCCTACTCCTGCCCATACTCGTACTCCTGCTCCTTCTCCTACTCCCACTTCGACTCATACTGCTACTGCTACTTCTCCTGCTGCTACTTCTGCGACTGTTGCTGCTGCTTGTGCTACTACTACTACCACCACCACCACCACCACTACTACTACGGCTTCTTCTTCTCCTGGGCTCAAGGTGGGTTCCACTTTGCCCGTCTGAAGCTGACATTTCTCGAGTTGTAAGCCGTTTGTACTCTTTCTGAAGGGAGATGTTTGTTGCTGTGGCACCATTTTAAGACATCCTTGACCCTCTTTTTATTTTGGAGTTTTGGCCTCGTTGTACTCGATGCGGGGAAAGATCACGACTTGTTCAGATGCCATTGTGCTACCTTTTGGAGCCTTCGGCTTGCTGTTGAGGCCTTGGATCTGCTGTTAGAAGGGTTGCTGCTCGGCAGGGCTGCCTGTTAGGCAACGGTTCCCAGGAGGGCCTTTGGCTTTTGGCCTGCTCCTGGTCCTTCTCCTGATGCCCGTACGACACTACTACAGCGACGACGCCACGGCTACGGGCACTTCTTTTGCTTGTACTGTGCTTTCTGATGCTACTTACTCTCCAACGGCTGCGTAGTGGCTGCACAAGTGCGAATGAATGACGATGATGATGATGATGATGCCACGAAGGTGCTCTTCGCAAGACCGCGCTGATGTTAGCACATGCAGCTGAACCGCAACAGGTCAATGCAGTAGGGTTACGCGTTATTTCGCAAAGCAAGCACTTGGAAATAGTTGTTTGGCGGAAGGGAATTCCACACGAGCGCCAGCATGGTAAACCCTTTTGCTTCATCTCGCAACCTCTACAGTCTATGGCAAGAAGGCCCGCATACGCCTGCACAAATACCATCTTACCAGAACAAGTCCAACCCTCGAGCCACCTCAGCGTGAGCTCACTGGAGGGGTCAGATGAGCACAAATGGCCTCATACGCCAGGGCAACCTGCCGGGCACCAGGTCACAAAGAGGCTCGAGCTGCAGGAGGAAGCTGATGGTGGTGACAAACACAGCCGGCGGCAATGCAGCAATGTGGGAATCTGTTGAAGAACGGACTTGACTAACTGAAATCCAGCGTGTCGAAACTCGACTCGGTGTCGCTCTGGCACCTTCCTAAAGTGCCAACGACATGTCGGCTCCTGACTCCAGAATGACTTGGATTTCCTTGGCAGGTGGTTTGCCCTCACTGTCCTGACACTCAACTTCATTCCTGACGACGACGAGGACGACGATCAACAGCCTATGGATCATGCTACCGCCGTTTGTTTCTGCTTCTGCTGCTGCTGTTGACTGCCGTGTCCTTGCCCAACTGCTCCCAGCAAACTTGCGGTGGGAAGCCTCCGTGAATCGCTTCTTGGCACCGTCCGGGTCGTCAGGATTCTTGTCTGGATGATGTAGCAAGGCCTTTCTGTGGGCGAGGCCGATGGGAGGGTGGTGGGGCGACGGGTTTTTACACTTGAGGGTGTGCGGCATGGCTGCCCCTTCAATGGCGATGAAGATGGGTGGTGAACAGCTCAAGCCCAGAATCAAGTGCTGCGGCGTCCCTTATAGGCATCTGACATGGCAGGGACGCGAGCCTGCCGACTGTTAGCTTGGCTTCTGGGTGAGTTGCATGCCCAGTATAAACAGAAAAAAAAGCATTCTGAGTCTCAACGCGGCTTTACAAGCGCAAGATCTTGCAATCCATTTCCAATCTCTACATGCGCAGAAGATACAGAACTTGGGATCTCAAGCACCCAGCACCTGCAGCTGAGGCATTGGATGTGATTGGACTCTTAGAATGCATTCCAAGTGGTAGATAGCAGCCGCCTGCCGCAACGCCTCAAAGCCTGCATTATTAGCACGGCGCCAACCCAAGCCGCAGCTTGGGCGTCGGCGAGCTTCCGGTAGGCTTTCCGCACATCATCCGCCCTTGCTGCCTGAATTAGAACAGTACTGTGCAAACTCAAGGCTTCGGAAGTCTCGAGGCCTCTCGCAAGCAACTGCCTCTTATCATGCAGAGAATGAACCAATTAATTCGCGAGCCAACCAGGCTCACCCACTGGAGATGTCAAGGCTGAACCCCAGAAGCGAGAAGCCAGCATCATGGCTGCAGAGCACAGATCCCGCCACTGTCAATCCTAGAACCATGAACGACAGGCAACCTTCGTGCTTCCAAGACTCTGGCCCAAGATCTAAGACCCGATAAGGCCCACCTCAGGCTGCGATGACAGGAGCCTGCACTAAACCTCAAGCATACCTACCTTCAGTACAACTGGTCTGGAGGGCAGGCATTGATGTTGAACGGGTTGCGGAGGGATTCTTTGGTGTGTAGGGCACGAATTTTGAGCGCACAAGGCCTCTGAATCATGAGAAGTCCCAGATCCAGCACAGCTCAGCCCGCAAAAGCAGCCTATGACACAGGCCTATAGACCTAAGCCCTTTTCTATGGAGATCCTTTGACAACTTGACATGGGTGAGCCAAGAAAGCCAACCTCTTCGTTGTCTGTAATTGATCGCCAGATTAAGGCTTGGGTCCCACCTACACACGCAAAGTGCAAGGCTGTCATGCGCGTTTCCACTGGGCTTACGAAGCAAAGGGTCAAGCAACAGTCCTTGGTTAGCAATGCCTCTGCACCTCCTCTAGCCCCACAGTTTCATTCACCAACAGAAGGGATTCTTGAACCCTTAATCCTGAACAGTCTGCCAAGTGCCCGGCGCAAGTGGCCTGGCAGGCGCCGCGGCTCCTTGATCGGAAGGAGGGCTTCCGGACGTACAGTACGAGTACTGGGCCTAGAAACGGGGGTCCGGAGGTGCTTCCCCCCTCCCGGGTCTGGACCCGACCGCAAGATTGAAAGACTGAAAGCCGGGCTCGGGTCCCCTAGACCAGGTGACTTAGTACCAAGGTCTGGGATTTCCGCCTCGAAGGTGTGGGAGACGCTCGGCCCTTTTGCGGTTGTCGACGCCTCGGTTCCGAGGCTGCTGGCTCATGTGGAGCTAGAGATGCTGGGAGAAACGGCTCTATAGACTAGCCCCACAGACCGTCGACAAGGCGGCGACACGTCCGAATGACCGCCGAACCTCGCATGTGAGGCGAATTGCAAAGTCGCGGAAGAGCTCTTCATCGCCAGAAGCTCGATCACGACGTGCACGCACAGAGGCCCAGAAAGCATCATCCTGTGCTTCGTCCCATGCTCGCAGCATGGGAAGCAGAGTCAAAGCCGCAGGTTCAGGTGATTGTGCTTTCTATCCGAGCAGATTCGGCCGCTTCACGAATGCAACAAGGAGGCCAGGAAGACCCCGTCACCCCGCCTCGTCCGGGAACCACAGGACAGCAAACCAGCCTGAACCGAATGGGTAGCCTAACTCAGTTTGGTCCTCTTTTCTCTCCGCCTCCTCACGCAGCGACTGTGCCACCTCGGCAACAGCGAGTGTTACCAATTGTGCTTCACTCAGAGGGCTATGATGCTGTGAATCTCGGGTTGTGCCGAGGCATGAACAGGCTGGCCCTGTCAGGCGGTGAGAAGTCCAGACCCGCACTGGAGTGGACCGGGCTTTAAATCCTGACAGCCTGGACTTCATGCTAGAGCGAGCATATTCTGCCTGCAAAGCTTCCACACAGTCGCCACTTATCCTTGAACTGCTCAAGGCTGAACGCGCCAGCCGTCCGCACGGACCCTCGAAATGCCTGGTCAAAGGCACCTCTGCGAGGTTCGCAGCGCGACGTGCAGCAGCGGCTGAGGTGCTGGAGCTCGGCGTCTTGGCTGATTCACCTGTCAGCCGGACAAACCCCGCTAGTGGGACCTCACAGAGTGCACTCGATAGTTCACCCTGGCCACCCCTAGCCTGTAGCCTTCCACGCATCGTGGTGGTCCTTGGTGTGGCAAGTCGCAGCAATCGGCCACCCCAATCCTTGAGTATAAGAAGGCATGGACAAATGAGAACGGAAGCCTAAGCCTGGAGCAGATTTCAGCAAAGACCAACTGCAGCTGGGCATCCAGAAAAGTCTTGATGTGCCTGAAGCCCTGATAAGCGGCCTGCATGGCCTGGGCTTCTTCCGGAAACGTAAAGAGACGCCAGCATCAAAGCCAGCGCGGGGGGGTTCAGAGTCTGCAGGACCAGGAAACCTACTCTGGGCTCTTGTTTCGGGTTTAGGCTGGAGGAGACTTGGTGATCCCTCAAGTCTGGATGAGCTACTGTGGTTGCAGCAGTCAAGCCTTTCACAGCCCACGGTGCCATATGCACGCCCTTTGGCGTTGCGGAAGAGGGCAGATACCACTTGTAAAGCTCAAGCGTGGGGGAAGTTTTCCATGAGGCGGGTCGTGCCTGGTTTCATGCTTCGTGTGAGGGGGGGGGAAGGGAAGTGAGCAGGTATTGATGGAAAACGTTGTGGAACAGTGCTTTTGGGGTGCGGTTCTTAAAGGGTTGATGAAGAAGGTGGCAAAATCTGTTCAGTGCTTGAAAGGAACATGGCGCGATTTTGGGTGGGTGAGGGCTGTTGAAATGCTCTGGAGAAGATTTGGACGATTTGAAAAACGAAAACGGAGTCCGAAAAGTTGGCAAAAGTGGTGGAAAGATAATGAGATGCTCGTTGAGAAAATGTTTGTTCATTTGAGGGGTGTGGCGGATGAAGTGGTTGTGCTGTCGGAGAAAATGGTTGCAACACATGACTGGAAATGGGATGTTGGGGCGGGGTGGGGTGGATATGCGCGGCACCATACACCTAAACAAGCAAGGTATCACTCAACTATGTTGTGGGGACGTGAGCTAATCTAGTCACTAGTCAGTCTTATCTATCTATCTATCTATCTATCTCTCCATCTATCTTTCTATCTATTGATATTACATAGCGCCTTGCAGGGTTGTCTTGGAATCCAGGACCACGAAAAGCTACAATTCCACAGCTGTAGCTGCCAACTACACTGCTATTCACTAAGACTTGGCTTCAGCATTGGCTTCAGCATGGGATAACTGAAACAGTAGGCTAGTCTCAGGCACCAGGCCTCCGTTTTCAGGAACGTTTATTTGTTGTGTTGGGCGGCACGAGCATTTGCATCAAACCCAAACCAAGCGGACAAAGTCCTGCCTACTCAGCCACTCTTTTCGCTCCGATGCAAGCGACTTCACTCGCAAAGTCAGTCATCACACCAGTTTCAACTCCGGGACATGTGCACACGTCCATGTCGTCAAGGAGGCCCAAACCGAGGAACCCCTAAGACCCTACCTTTCATTCGCAAAGACAGGTCAGGAACAAACGAAGCTTGTTCAACCAACCTGTGCTCCATTGATCATGGGCGGGGTCCTGGAAGAGACGGCGAGGCATCAAGCCTCATCCACCACAAACCCCCAACTGAGAGGTTATCCCGGTGCCTGCAGCTCTGCCACCCTGGGCTGGCGAGGGATGTCAGTGACGACATTCAGCCGAAGCACAGCATTCTGCTGCGAAGCATTCTTCAGCGTGGCATCAGCGCCCCACGACAAGAGAAGCTGGCAGATGGAGTCGCGGCCTCGGGTCTCAGATCGAAGCTTTGGGGACGAGCTTTCAGAGCAGTGGGCCAGGGGCGCTTCTGGAAGAGAGCAGATTGGAGCAGTGCCCGGTTCCTATACCTTTCATGAAAACCCACCAGCTCGGGAGCCTTAGCATTGCGAAAACCCCTTGCGCCGCAAACACAAATGGACCTCAAGTCGAACCCTGTGGTCCATGCCTTGATGGGCTGCCCACATCAGCGGCGTGTCGCCGGCCAAACTGGCAGCATCGACGTCTGCACGTCCCTGAAGCAACGCAGCTGCGACGCCTTCGTGTCCTGAGTCGGCCAAGCCGTGCTGTTCCGGTTTCAACTTTCGCAGTCGCACTGCAGCTGACATCGCAGTACTGTGGGGTTTGGACGGTTCGTGTGTTGAAATCTTCCTCAGAACCTCATCCGATTTCGAAACAAACAAAACGTCTGTCGCTCTGCCGTCTCTAAACATTGTTGCGTGCATACCGGGGCTGTCGTGCTCGGAGATTGAAGCCGACTCTTCACCCCGACGCCGAAGCCCAAGGAGGCGGCCTGTGATGACTGCGAGGTGGAGAGCCGTCAAGCCATCCTCGAGCTTCGCTTGCTGCGGGCAAACACAAATCCGGATGAACATACTCCAGATTGCGACTTCTCATGACATGTCCAAAATGAAGGCCCCCATCAAGCCCCGAGCCTGAAAACGTCACTTTGTGGTGTCCTCTTCCGCTGCATCTACGACCAGAAGCCGGTCCACGGCTGCAAGACCTGTTTCAGATGCAGCTGGTTGTTGGGGCGTCGTGTGGGCAATTCATGGCAGTTCTTTGGCTTTTTCCGAAACATTTGTACTGCGCAATACGCCGTTCGAATCCTACGGTTGGCCTTGATTCCCGCCAAACATAGCGACCGAGACTCGTTTTTGAAAGCAACAGCTGCCACAAGAAAGTCTCTGACTGCACCTGCAAACCCGGCCATTCCATGTGGACGTGGCAACGGTCGATGTTTGGATGCATGCCGGGCCGGGCTCCGAAATGCGTACTTAACCGCAAGGTGGACGCCGAAAGATGTCAATGTGTATTTCCGCAACGCGATGCGAGTTAAACCCTCCCCTCGTTGTGCTGGCGCCATGCAAACAGATGCCGGCTATAGAGCGCGGGAGCCCTGGCCTCAGACCCTCACCAATGCCCCGCTCAGATTGTCATTAAGACATGGACTCAGGACATCGGACTAGCCGAACTTGCACAAAGCAAAGGGTGTAAAGCCTTTAGCACCGCTTCAGACGGACTTACGCGTCCAGAAAGTGCTTGCCGTCGAAACATGTACGTGTGTCATCAAACGCATGCAAGCTCACGTATGTCGTGCACCTGCTTCCGTGCTTTTTTGCCTCTCCTCGATTCTCTCTTTCGTATGTTGCTTATAGTTGCTTTCCCAATATTCTAGCAGAGATGTAGGTGGACAAACGTACCCACCGGCAAGCGCACCCACCTTCACTTCACTGCACTCCACTCGGGGTCAGAAGCACTGGCAGCCGTCCCGCGCAGTCGTGAACCATGTATGTGTGTATGTATATGTATGTATGTATGTATGTATGCACGTGTGTATGCCTGTATGCATGGTTCTATGTATGTCCGTACGTCCGTATGTACATATGTATGTATTTATGGATGAATGTCATAGATGTATGCACATATGTATGCGTGTGTATGTATGTATGTATGCATGTGTGTGTGAGTATGTATATGTGTATGTACGTACATACGCACGCACGCGAGCAGGGATGGATGGATGGATGGACGGACGGATGTGTATATGTGTGTGTATATATGTATGCATGTATGCATGTATGCATGTGTGCATGTATGTATGTATGTATGTATGTATGTATGCATGTATGCATGTATGCATGTATGTATGTATGTATGTATGTAGGTACGTATGTATGTAAAAATGTATAGCCACCCACCTATCCGCCTACCACACACACACACAGAAACTCTCACTCAATCACTCACAGCCAGGAAATCTTTCACGACACAGAACTCTTGCTACGCTGATTTTGATGTGTGTCTCGACAGGGCTATGGCGGTGTGGTACAATGGAGATTGTCGATGTCCAGCTGGCGCTGAGGACCAGATGCAAATATGAGACCGCGACACGTACTCGCAGATTGTCGACCATAAACACGTGAACACAGCGTGCCCGAAGTCCCCAAAAAATACCCAGTCGGGCCTCGTAGCAGCTTCCGCACTTCTGAGAGCTTGCCGAGGTAAGAGGCCTGGTGCAGTGCCCTCCGAAGCATTCAAGCAAGCCCGAGTCGAAATAATGAGATCAAGGCCGCAGCTCCATGCGAGGCAAGACTCAATCAACGATGAGATGAATTCGGCTTACAAGACGCCCAGATTTGTTTGCACGGAGAACCATGGAGAACAGATACTGCCAACGGCTATCAGTAAACTCGCTCAGCCGAACAAACGAGTGCTTTCTGTGGCAAAAGAAAAAGCTCTCCTCTCCATTCTCACTTGCGAACTGCGACTGCAAATTCTAAACTCTAAGGCCAATAGTAACGCGATCCGATGGCTGACGCACCTTCCTGAGCGATGCGGCCACCCGCAGCCTGTCAGTGCGATTGCAACGTGCCATGACTCTGGAGGGTCGAGGCTAGCCTAAGTCCAAAGCATCGCAGAGCTAGAGAGGCATCGAACTCCAAGCAGCCCTAGCAGCTCATATATTCCTACTTGGCAGGGCGTGACATTCTGAACGGCCCTGGCAGGGGTTGGGAAGGAGACGATTCGTGCGCGTGTGCATGTGCCCGATGTCAACAAGTACAGCTAGAGGTCTGCGCACATTACATTGCATATCATTTCTTGTTTCTTCTTGCTGGCTGTGTACTATACTCCTGTCTGTGGCAAGTGTAGGAAAGGCTGAAGACTCGAATTTCCTCACCTCAAAATCTAAGCGGGATTGGAATGTTGAAAGGGGCAGATGCTAAGAAACATGACTTCCCTTTTCAAAATTTGAGCATTACCTCTTTACAAAGCCAGGGTACAAAAGAGCTTGGTTGCGAACTCACATGTGACGTGGAATACTCGTTTCCCTGTCCCGTCGTCTTGTCCGGCCAAGGATTAAATCGCAGTCTCCGATAAAGACACTCGAGAGCGATTTGCCAAAGACCAGCTCCAGCCTTCCCCGCTCCAAAAACGAAAAGCGCCTTGTCACCGCCGCCTTGTTTTTGGTGCACGCCTTGCTGCTATCTCCCTTCGGTGCCTGTCTTGTGCGGCCTCGGTCTCGGAGGGCAGACGCGCACGCTTGGTCCTTAGATGACAAGTACCACAACGGCTGCCTCGACGGTTGAAAGAGGCTTGTATCCTCAGCAATTGAAGCACCGACGCTGAGCTGTAAAGCTGTGAAGGGGTGTGCAGGCACGGCCACGGCCGTCCAAGTCCTGTCGCAACCCTGGTGGATCTTATCGGAGATTATTTGTTGCAGCCTCCCAAGCTGAATACCCCGCGAAAACTGCTGTCCCAAGAATGGCAGAAACAAAGTTGCAATCAAGTGGTTCAGCACAGTGACAGCTGCAGAAGTTGAATGGACGGGCCTGCTTTGGTGAACTTTAGTGAGAGACCCGGAAAAATGGATCACCCGTCAATCTCCCTTCCCTCTTCGTATTCCTTTCATGTTTTTATGAACCCAGGTCCACATTCAAAACAAGAATGAGCACCCACGGCCCGCATAATGTTGGAATGAGGCTGGCTCGAGAAACTGTGGCCCTACCGTTTAGCCAACGCCCGGTCTTGATGATCTGGACTCTTTGGTGCTCAACAGGCTTTCTGAGGCAAAGCAGCTTCGAGGCAGCCTCGCTGGCATCCTTCCGCAACACTCGGATTTGGGGGATTTCTTCTAAGAGCTATCAGAGCCAAAGCCACTCTCTTTCGAATCTACAAATCTCCGGAAAAAAAAAACTGCCCCTCGGCCGCTTCCTCCTTCTGCACTTCCTCCAAGAAGGCAGCAAAAGCATCGTCCAGCGACGTCTCCGCCATGGCTGCGCATGGCGCCGTCTTTTGAACTTCGTCACACGGTGATACACTTTCTCGGTGTTGTGATACCGTCGAAGAATACTTCTTATACTTGGACTTTGGTATGAGCATCAAAGACTCTGGGGGACTGTGTCTATGGGCTGCAGGGGCCGGTATCGCGACTAGTGACTAGTGCGGCACTCTGCTCTTTAATTAGACTGCGGCAACGACTGCAACTACGCCGAGGACGAGGACGAGGAGGACGACGACGACACCGACTACTCCTACTACTCGAACTACTCTTGCTGCTCCTACTCCTCCCACTCCGTCTCTTCCAACTGCTCGTACTCCTACTACCCCTACTACGACGACCACTACCACTACCACTACTACCACTACTACCACTACTACCACTACTATCACTACTACCACTACTACCGCTACTACCACTACTACCACTACTACCACTACTACCACTACTACCACTACTACCACTACTGCTACTACTACTACTACTACGACTACTACGACTACTACGACTACTACGACTACTACGACTACTACGACTACTACGACTACTGCTACTACTACTACTACTACTACTACTACTACTACTACTACTCCTACTTCTACTACTGCTACTACTACTACTACTACGGCCACGGCTACTACGGCTACTACGGCTACTACAACTACTACGACTATTACGACTACTACGGCTACTACGGCTACTACGACTACCACGACTACTACTAGTACTACTACTACGACTATGACGACGACGACGACGACTACTACTACTACTACTACTACTACTACTACGACTGCTACTGCTACTGCTACAGCACTGCTGCTGCTACTGCTACTGCTACTGCCACTGCCACTGCTCCTGCTGCTGCTACTGCTACTGCTACTGCTGCTGCCACTGCTACTGCTGCCGCTGCCGCTACAGCTACTGCTACTGCTATTGCTACTACAGCTCATGCTGTTGCCGCTGCTGCTACTACTACTATTACTACTACTACTACTACTACTACTACTACTACTACTACTACTACTACTACTACTACTACTCCTGCTACTACGACTACTACCACTACCACTACCACTACCACTACCACTACCACTACCACTACCACTACCACTACCACTACTACTACTACTACCACTACTACTACTACTACTACTACTACTACTACTACTACTACTACTACTGCTACTACTACTACTACTACTACTACTACCAGTACTACTTGTAGTATGTATAGTAGTAACAACTACCTGTAATAATGCTAGGTGCTACTACCAGTTCCAAGACTACTACTACAATAATGCCTTTCAATACAAACTGTGCGCTCCCCAAATACTGAAATGCAAGTTCAATACACGATTGCGAAATGGTCATATTGCTCAAGGCGGGTTCCATTGTGAGAGGAGGCCTGTAAAAAAGGTGCCACATTATCCCAGACCCCTCAGGAGAGATGTGGGCATTCCCAGCCTCGACCAAAACCTAGTCCAAAACCTTACAAACCTGCTTCAGATGTGTGGGCTGCGAGAGCTTTCGAGCCAAAGCTTCACATACAGAGATCGGAATCTCTAGTGCGAAACGTCAGGATCAGACATCATAAGATAGTTTCACTTTCGGTCGCGGCGTAACAAGCATGGCCTGCAAGGTGACCTCATGGGCTGGAACATCTTATCTCAAACCTAAAGTGTTCGTGGGGAATCCCGTGCGCATGGTCCTACGTTGCCATGCTTCGCATGCGCGAGGTTTATTTATGCCGTCGCCGTGTTGAAATGATTGCTGAAGCTGACAAGACACAGACTGTAATGTTCTCGAAAGAACCCTGTAGAGAAACTGTTTTGCCCCATCCCCTCGTGGCCCTGTCCCACGTACCTTGCAGTCTCGCGCTCTGGGCAGGGCTGCTGCCTCTACTTGTTGACCCTGAGAAACCCAGCCACGCGAAGAGACTATGACTATAACCAAGCTTCTGAAGATTGAAGCAATGCTTGAGGCTTCGGCTTCCCAATTTTCGGGCTTTCAGGTCAAGTCGTGGCAGGCTCTTAAAGTGTACACGCAGACAGCCTGGCCTGCTGCTGCACAGAACAGTGATTGATTTCGTGTCTGGGTAGCCAAGACCATATTTCAGGCATCATTGCGAGTGCTACTGGTGCATAAAATGGATAATGCAGACAACATTATTGCACCAAATGGAAACATGGCATGAACATGGCCGCAAACCAAATCAGCAACGCCTTTCAGAAAACTGCAACAAGAACCCGATGACAGGTCGATGTCGTTTCCAAGGGCTATGGGAGTCCAAGAACACAATATCCCTGTAGACAATGCAGGATACCCTGCTGTTGACGATGCTCGTGCGTTGCTACAACTCGAACCAGAGCCTTTCTGAAGATGCTAGCAAAATCTGCTGACGTCTTGACAATCCAAACCTTAGCGGCACGCTATTTCATCCATTCGCAACTTGCTAAGATACTGACATGCAGTCACACATCGGAGTAAGGTGACCTCAAGAGTAAGGGGATCTCAAGTGCTCGTAGAACTGCACGAGCACATGAAACTAATTGCTGCGCTGTGGCTGTCGCTGTTCCTGTTCCTGTCGCTGTCGCCACAACTGCAGAGCTCCAACTGATTTGACTGGCAATAGATCAGGCCTCCGAACATGGCAAATGCTGCAATTTACAGTAGGACTCGCCGAGGAGTTTGACAGTATGCAATTGACAAGTTACACTGAAGGAACCACAGCGGCAATATCCTCGGAGTGGGATGAGATGCAAGACCTTACACCGCAACAGGGGCGGGCAATAGCAAACTCTGAAGCCCAAAGGGTCGGTCAGTGAATGCCGTGCTAGCGACACTGGTGATACTTGCAGTACTGCCACACGCAACAGTGATATTGACAATGACAATTTTATTAATGGAACCCATGCAGAAACAAAGGCAAGCCGGCTGCTTAAGCTTCACAAACCCCTAAACCCGAAACCTCGGACCAGCCTGTACTTGGCGCGGGGTGCCACGCTGGAGCTGAGCCTTGCGTAAGGCCTCGCCTCAGCAATCACCGCTTGGTTCTCGGTTTGTACTTGTGAAACTGGGACAGCTGAGAAAAGGCATGCTCGCATCAAGTGCAGATGTGATATGCTGCGACAGGCGATGCACCTGCACAGCCGGAACCTTCACCTACAGTCACCAGACACATCCTTCGCCCCCTGGAGACTGTTGCCATTCCTGGACAGAACGAAACCTCTGACTCCGGATCTCTCTTCACTTTGACTGAGGGCTGATCGCTGCTTGGCGGGATCATACATATTCCTTGGCTCCCAACAAAACGTTTCCCCCAGGTAGACCTCTGAGTAAGCGTCAAATCACCTGTCGTGGAAACCCTACAGCCGTGATACCACACTTGTGATGCAAACGAAGATGATAGCGAAGCTGAAATTGTCGAGATGAGCTCATGCCAACGTGGATGCTAAAACTGACGGTGCCGAAAGAGATACTGATCTCCATTCGGAGGAAAGCTTGGTACTTATGGACTTACAGCGATAGTCGGGATAATCATGGCAAAAATGCTGATAGGTGCACGCGGCTGTCATCATGATCGTCGCACAACCATCATTGCCACACGCATCCTCACCAAAGGAATGGCTAAACAATGCGGCTTCAAGCCACAAGTCACGTTGTCCGAGCAGATGTCACGCTCAACTGCTGGACTAAGACTACGAGACAGAGATTCTCTATTTCATGATGATACCAGAATTTGGATCATCTACTTGCGCCGCAACGCTGCAGCAACTGCATAGGACTATGCTGAACCTGAAGCTAATGCGACAGCAAACGCAACGAAATGAGATGTCTCGCTCGATTGGCTTCCATGTGCAGGCTTTCTTTTGGCTTGCGGTCAGGCCGCGGAGACAAAGGACCAGACGCGAAGACCCGCGAGGAAAGACACATTTTGGATGTTCCTTGCGGAGGACGAGGCCGTACCACGGCAGATCGCTAGGAAGAAAAGTGTTGACGACGGAAAACCACTGCAAACCATTTCGCCACCACCATTGCTATCCGCTGCTATCTGCTATCAGCAACGGCACCATCATCACCACCTTCGTAATCATCCACATCCCACCCTGTCCTTGTCATCGTTGGCGTCATCGATACAACAGTCATCGCAATCGCGACGCAAGAGTGGATATCCCCCAAGTGTCGAAACAAGTCACGTGCCCGTTGGCGAGCCAGCCTGGACGTTGCGAGTGATCTCAAACATCGAGCGCTCTAATCCGAGCTACGATGTCTAGGAACTTTGCCCGCCGCGTGTCTTGCAGTCTCCAAAAAGTCGGGAGGTCTACACTGGCCCATTGCCGCCGTAGACCTCGCAGTATTGATTTCAGGCATCCCCAAAATGGCTATTGGATGCCTCTCCTCAGAGCACCTAGACTTGGTGCGAGAAGAGACATGCTAGCAAAGACTATCAATCTACTTATGTATCTACTTAATCTCATAAGCCCGGAAGCACACATGCCTGCGAAGATCACCTGTCCTTTAGGAATCAAAACTGGTACGATGCTGAACAAGTGGACTGTCAAACAGATTGTTGAAGCCGGCTACTGTATTGCAGAAACCCAGACCGGCAAGCCCCACCGCACCTCGAGACCAAGCGCAAACATGTTTGGCTCAATTGCAAAAGCCAGCCAGCCTGGAACACGTTCGAGGTCATGAAGACCTGCGGACTTGCACATTTGAGGGCAAGAAGCCTCTTCGTCTAAGAACATATTGGAATCCGCTGCCGGAGCCTGGAACATGGAAACTTCAAAGCCTCCCGAGCCCTCTGATCGGAACGACACTTGGCGACTCTGCCAAGTTTCGACGGGGAGCGGCTGAGATGTGGAAAGATGTTGTGCTATCAGGGAAGTCTGGAAGCATGGACACCTGCATCGTGACATTACGAAGACGGGAGAGACGTTAGACAGTTAGGAAGCTATGTCATCTAAGCGACGCGGCATTTCGAATCGAA